GCACACACAAACTCACCTCAGCCCGTCTCCTCAGCGGGGGCTCCGCCATTGCCCTCTGTGGGCTGAGCCGGGCGGGAGCAGAAGTCGCTGCAGGAATGGCGGTCCCTGTCCCGGCCCTGGCGCGGGTTCCTGTGGCGACTCCGAGCGTCAATCCCACGTAGGAGCTGTGAGCACCACTGGCGGCTCCGACGATTGGTTGTGTCGCTGGGAGCACCACTCTCCGGCCTTCTCCACGGACGGCGGACACCTTAAACCTCACCGCCTGAGACAAAAATCTGAGAAGATGAAATCGGGCTACAAGGATTACCGGTCCCGCCCTCCCGAAGCGGCCAAACGGAAATGCCTTCTCTGACCCTCCATTGGCTCAGCCTGATGCCATTCCATGCGTGGCCTTCTGGGTAATGTAGTTTCTCAGCTCCAAGGCCGGGATCCATTATTTCTCAGTTGACTCTAGGACTGGATTTAGGGGCAAATAGCCCAAGAACACACTAAGTACACTAAGGGCCCTCTAGCGCCTTCAGGGTAGGTGATTTCCGAGGCAAGGTTGTTTCTCCTGCACCTGCAGGGCTTTCTTTAGCTGCGGTTTTGCATATATTTGTTCAGGACTTGCTGTTTCTGAATGGCAGGCATTGTTTCTTCATTCAGGACATTTGGCATGTGTCTCCATCAGGTCCAATGTAACTTGCAGAGGTTTCTCAAGTCTCTAACTCGCTGTAATCCGCCTCCATTGAATGCATCGTACAAAGTTAATGTCATAAAACAGACACTCATCCTTAAAGGCATCTGCTTCTGATGCCATTCAAAGTGCAGCTCTGCCTGGGTGGCACTGGGGATAAGATGACCAAGAGACAGGTGAAAAAATGCTCAAAGTGACTGACTATCCGAGAGATGCAAGTTCAAACAAGTAGGTATCACCTCACAACTGTCAAAATCGCGGCCATCAACAAGTCAACAAATGGAAAGTGCTGGCGAGGATGTAGAAAAAAGGCAACCCTAGTACACTGCTGGTAGGAATGAAAACTGGTACAGCCGTTATGGAAATCAGTATGGAGCTTGAGCAAAAAATTTAAGATGGAACTGCTATTTGATCCAGTGATTCCACTTCTAGGAATATACGCTATGGGTAACCCCCTATTGTCTTCACTAGCAGAGCGGTGTGGACAAGGAGCCTGGAAGGCTGGTGACCCTTGAGCCCTAGTAAAATTAGAGCTCCTCACTCACTGTTTAGTCCAGACAGCGGTAGCTGAAGCAACTTCCCCACCTGTAGTCATGTAAATTCTTAATGATAAGATAGTCTGCCTGTTATAGGAACTTGCCTGTCTAATGGCTATGGGTGTATATCCCAAACTGAATAAAAAGATGGCAAGGCCTGAGCACAAGAAGAGTCCATCCTCTTGGGTTGGGCTCTCGCCTGGCCCCCCAGTTTCCAAATTATTATCTCTTGTCTAATCTCTTTCATTTGTGTGTGGCCCCTCTTCCAGATCCTGAACCCTGAACCAGGAGGGTCTGGGGGAAACACATCACATATCATAAGAAATCTGAAACAATCAGATAGAAAGTAACGACCCCTCTCTTCATAGCAGCAGAATTTACAGTGGCAAATATCTGGTGTGCTAGGGGGAGGGACCGTGGCATGGAAAAATTACTGATTGTTTTTAAAGAAACAGTGGGATGATTGAACCCAGCCCGGTGTGACCCTGTTTTCCTCCTGAACTTTTTACCTGCCAGTTAACGCTTTGTAGTTTCTGCAAATAAAAGCTTTGCTGCACCTTCGGGTCGGTGCTGCAGCTACGAGGCTCCCTGTGAGGAGGTAAGTGCTATAGTCGCTGGCCAGCTTAATAAAGGCTCTTAAATTTAAATTCTGAGTCGGTGGTTTATCTCACTGATTGAACCCATAATATTTGGAGGCCCGCAGCGAGATTCCCCACATCCCTGTGGGGAACGGCTATCAAGGAGGCCTCCATTCTCCATCCCGGGTCCCAGGGAGGCAGAGGAGACTCCACCCAAAACTTTTGATTCAGAAACTGAGCCACCTGGACTCGAGAGAGAGGTAAAGAAGACAAGTCAATCTGCCTGGAATTGGGATGTCCCTCGAAAGGACCTATATGGTGGGCTAGACGCAGCGGTACTCCTGGTCCTGACCCACGGACATGATGGTGGCCAGGGTCCCTGGTTCGTGTGGCTGTAGGCTGCACTGGGTTTGTCTGTCTGGTGTTTGTTTTCTGGTGTTCGTTGGTTTGTGCTTATCAAAAAGTCATCTGCTTCTGTGTGCACCCCGCTGCAATGTTTTTTGAAAAATTTTCAGGACTTCAAGGAATGAGCTGCAGGTTATGGTTATGATGTTAATGCTTTTGATTTGCAGAAATTCTGTGAACGGGAGTTGCCCACTTTCCAGGTGGGATGTCCGGACATAGGGACTTAAGATTTAACCACTGCTTTTCGGGTTCACCATGTTGTCTATGGCTGGCTGAGTCACCCCAAACAAATTCCCTATATACAAGTATGGGTCGATATTTGGACTGAAAAACCAAGGTGGTTAAAGTTGTCAGAATAAGGAAAAGAAATTGGGACAGAGACAGACAGTCCTCTTGGCTTCAGCCCAAAAGGAAAAAACTCCCGCTGTTCTGCAAGGTCCGGGTGAGGCAGTCCCCGGGGTCAGGCCTTCCCCACCCACCAGTCCTAAGGTGGCAAATGACCCTGATCCAGAGCCCCTGCCTCCTCCACAGCCAGTTTCCTTTCCTCCAGAAACACCAGTCCAGGACCCGGCTCCATTCTCCCCTCCTCACACTGAGCGGGGACTGCGTGTGGAGGCGGCGAGGGGGAGGACCGGTGGGGCCCTGCAGCATCCACTGGTCCTACGGCTCCTGTGTTGCCACTATTGCAGGTGGGCCCTCCGGGCCTGGGTCCAGATGGTCAGCCTTTGTGGTCTGTGTCCCCATTTCAACTGGTGGCCTGTGCAGTTGGAGGGGCCAGGGTCTTTCTTTCTCCCAGAACCCACACAGGTTAATCCAGGGATGGGCAAACTTTTTGACTGGAGGGCCACAATGGGTTCTTAAACTGGACCGGAGGGCCGGAACAAAAGCATGGATGGAGTGTTTGTGTGAACTAATATAAATTCAAAGTAAACATCATTGCATAAAAGGGTACGGTCTTTTTTTGTTTGTTTTATTTATTTCAAACGGGCCGGATCCGGCCTGCAGGCCGTAGTTTGCCCACGGCTGGGTAATCTCTCTTTTGGAGTCCGTGTTTTTTATGATTGTCAGCAGCTGCTGCAAACACTTTTCACTTCAGAAGAGAGGGGGGGTGTCAAGGCGGAAAGAAGGAAACTTGTTCTGGGTCCAGATGGACAGCCTACATCTGACCAAGACAGATTA